AAACGTTTCCCGGCTGAATCTGAACTTGTGCTTGAACTGCTGCTCGTCCCTGTGCCCAGAGGGGGCTTGGGTGGGCCGGGACTGCAGACCTCTGCTCCGCAAGAGACAGCGGGGTGCCAGAGGGTGCAGCGGCAGCCGTCTTGGGACTTGGGGACACTCGGGGCCCAGTGTGGTGCAAAGCTGCGATAAGGACCTAGAGTGCCCCGCACCCCTCCCATCAGCCCCTCCCAACCCTGCGCCGCTGGAGTGAGCCCCTGGAGAGGGCCAGTTTGGAGCGTTGGTACACAGCACACTTGGCTCGGAGACGAGCAACCTCTCCCAAAGCAAGGCTCCCTGAGTGAGGGATGGAGAGAACGAGCACGCAAGAAACGGAGGGCCGCTCCGGGAGCCCATGCGCAAGCCTCCTTCTGGGTTCTCCAGGCAAACGTGGCAAAACACCCTGAGCTCCAGCAGCCAGGCTGGCCGGTTCAAATGCCAGTGACTTGGGCGATGGGTAGGAGAGCTGAGTAGCGTAAGTGCGCTCTGCGGGAGTGGGCGTGTGCTCCGTTTCTAACCAACTTAGTCTCCTGAGGGGTACTGTACGGAGTCCGCTCTTCCCGACTTAGCGCGTTTGGAGCACTTTTGGAAGTGTGTCTCTGAGGTCAGGACCCTTGCCCGCTGGGGGTCTTGCCCCGTCTGCCAGCTGCAGAGAACCTCTAGTCCTCCTGCCTCGCACTCTGGTCCCTCCCCCACCTGGTCCCTGGACCACGCTGCTTCTAGAATGGTGGCGCATTGGTTAAAATATTTGGCTGCTAACTCGAAGGTCGTAGGTTGGAACCCACCACTCACTCTGCAGGAGGAAGGTATTGGCTACCTTCTTTCCTAAAGATCGACAGCCTTGGAAACTCTAGGAGGCAGTTCCACTCTGTGCTATCGGGTTGCTATGAGGCGGAATTCACAGCGATGGGTTGTTTTGTTTGTTTGTTTTTGAGAGGGCGCTCACTTCTTCCACAAGTAGTCAAAGGGGATCTGCTTTCAGAAGTCATACAGGCCAGGTGAAGAAGGCCAAGGCTGGGCAGGTCACTGGGGAGAAGAATGTACCTCCTCCTTCTTGCTCTCACCCTACTTGCTAAATCAAGACACCAAGGGAAAAGGGATCAAAGGCCTTAACCCAGCATCCAACAAGCTAGTGGCAGGGCTGCAACTTGTCCCCAAGTCTTCTGACACTCCAAGTCCAGGCTCCCCCCACCCCCACCCAAGGCACCATCTCCCCAAGCCACCCCTCCCCAGGGCCCCCAGTCCCCGGACCCACCCCCATCCCAGGGGCGTCCCCCCCCCCGTCTCCCTCCCCTGGCAGAGTCGGCGAATTTATCAATCATACACAGAAGCCACAAGAACTCTTTGATTTCATTACAACCAACCACAAATACAGAATAGAATTAAGGCAGTTGAATCCAGTTCTTCATAATTACAAGCTTCTGGACAGTAAACTCAGCTTTAAGTATCAACTTGAATCAGTAATTGAAAATCTTATTAAACAGCAGCTTTTTTTCTTGACTTCTAAAGAAAAAACATTTTGTGGGCTGTCGAGTGTGCTGATGTGCCACCTCACCAACTCCCCATTTTGATTACTGACTCTCAGCCAAGCATGGGGGGACTGGCAGGTGGTGGCACCTCTTCTTCCCTATCTACCTCCACAGCAGTGCTCTGTCTGCCAGGTGTCACCTCAAATTTCCTTTCAAATGAAAACCAAACATGTGAAAACTTCAGGCTGTTCTTAAAACCTGAGGTACATAGCCATGAATTCTATCATTACAAACGTGACTGGAACTGATCCTAGCAACCGTAAATTTGGAGTTTAGAAGAAACTAATTTATGAACCGTTATGTGACTACACACTTGACCATAAGTCAGCACCCACACTGGGATTTTCACAGAAGTGTGCTTTCCTTTGGCCATTCGATTCCCTATGCGTAAGAGTGTACAGATTGTAGTGCTCAGATGTGGGGCCTATTTTGTTGCTGAAGTTTAGAAAAGAAACTCGTTCAAGGGCTTGCACTTAATCGCAACTGCTTTCCTGACTGCCGTTAGAAAGACAATATAGAGTCACACACTTAATAAGGTGAAGCTGTGCAGTGACAGTCACTGGAGAAACCTTGGCCACAACATCTTTACCATTGCGCATGCACCCCTCCTCCACCCCTTGGGGATGGGAGAAGAAAGCAGGAAGGAGAAGGAGGAGGGGAGGGAGAGAAAAGCCAAGTCAAAAGTCAATCAAAAGTCACGGGGTCACCGTGGGCTGCAGGGCAGCTGAGGAGGAGAGGAAGGTGGTGTCTACAGTTGTAAGCACACACATACACACACACACACACGTTTATAGAGTACATCAAGGGGAACAGAGCCCACACAGCAGCTGTGTGTGTGTGTGTCTGGGGGGGGGGACAGTAAAGATATCTCACTGGGGATCATATATGCAAGACAGCCTTGAGAGTGGACCACTGCTTGGCCACCAACAAGTCAATGTCTCACACAGCCACTTCGTCAGAATCAGCTTCGACGTCAACAACCACAATCCGGGGCAGGCCGGCAGCGATGGCAGGCTCCAGCTGGCTGGCAGCAGGCACAGGAGACCCGCTGGCAGAGCCATAGGCAGGCTCATTGATGTCAGATCCCAGGTGGCTGGTGGTGACGGTGGCCTCCGGGTGGCAGGGGGTGGTGATCTCATGGTAGCCAGTGGTGGTGGGCTCAAGGTACTCAGCAACAGTGACCTCAGGAAGGCTGGTAGCAGACTTGATGTGGCCACTGGTGGGTTTGGAGTGGCTGGTGGCAAGACTGAAGACAGTCTCACAGTGGCTGCCAGCAGGGAGGTGGTAGCCAGTGACATGCTTGGGGTGGGTGGAAGCATGCTTGTAGTGGACAGAGGGAGACTTTGGGTAGACTGTGGCAGACCTGGGGTGACCAAAGGCAAGGTCAGGCAGGCTAGCTGCAGCCTCACCAGGGAGTGGGATATTCCGGACGCTCATCAGTGTTTCCTCCACAGCCGGAGTGGTGCGGGCTTGCTCAAAGCCTTCTGCATGGGCTTGGTTGCGGGCCCGGGCACGGGCCCGGGCACGGGCCCGGGCACGGGCTTCCCATGTCTCCCGGATGGCAGTGATGAGGCCAGAAATGAAGAGGACGGGGTGCCGCATTGCATACAAGACGACCGAGTACTCTCTTCGGAAGCTCTCATTGAGCAGCCCGTAGATCACTGCGTTGAGGCAGCTGTTGAAATAGGCTATGAAGTAGGCAGCAAGATACAGCCAGTTGGGGATCTTGTCCACCATCCCCTTCGGGCTGACAGCCACCAGGACAGTGAGCATGTTGATGGGACACCAGCACACTGCAAAGAGGAGGGAGATCACAAACATGGTTAGGAAGTTGCGCACCTCAGCCAGCCGGATGGCAGGGTTCTGCCTAGCTGCCGCCCGGGCTGCCAGCACTCTGGCCCAGATCTGGACGTAACAGAAGCCCACTACAAGCAGTGGCAGGACGAAGTGGATGCAGACGATGGTCACAGTGAAGACAGGGTTGTTCAGGTAGTTGAAGACGCAGGTGTAGGTGCGAGGGTCATACTCGATGGTGCCGATGTACGTGTTGGGCAGGATGGCTAGGAGGGCCATGATCCAGGTGACCACCAGGTAGATGCAGGTGTTGCGCATGCTGAAGAGCCGTTCGTACTGGAAGCTGTGGCAGATGTAGCAGTAGCGGTTGATGGCGATGGCCATGATGTTGAAGATGGAGCCAACCACGCTCAGCCCTATAATGAAGCCGACCATCTGGCAATGGAGCTGGCTCAGATCCCAGCCCCCAACGGCCATGGCATGCACCATCAGAGGGTAGGGGTAGATGGCCGCCAGCATGTCGGCCACCGAGAGGCTGACCACAAAGATGTTGCCTGCAAAACGTGGGGGGGGGGGAGAAGGGGAGAAACAGAGAAGAGGCAATGGTTAATTGTGGACATCTGCAAAGTTCAACAGGAAAGCTCTCACTGGATTCAGGACAATTCACAATTGGACAGTTCTTTAAAGGACCCCGGTGGTTTTGTTTATTGGCAAGTGTGTCGCAGGTGCTTCTGAGCTGCAGCCAGGTCTGGGAGACCCGTCCTTTGCCAGTCTCTTTTCCCCTTTAAAGCCATGTCATCTCTCTGAGAAAGAAAGGGCTTGCAACAGAGGTGGCAGCAGGGGACCCCCCCTGAAAGGAATCTTCCCAAGCAGATGCTGTCTCGCTGCCACCATTTTAGAGAACAACCTGTAAACTTGTCCCTGTGGGGGAGAGGAACTTGGGGTGGGGGCAGGTTGGAAGCAGGAGAATCAACATCAGGAAGCCAGGACCTAAGGAAAAACACACACCCAAGGTCCCATGAAGAGATGCTCACAATCATTGGCCACTGCTGGTGGGACTGTGAAATGATACAACCACTGTGGAAAGCAATGCCCATTTTTCTATTGGATTGTTAATTCCTTTGGTGTTGAGGCATTGGAGTTTTCTATAAATCTTAGAGATAAGTCCCTTGCCAGATACATAATTATCGACAAGTATGAATTTGTTGCTGTCATTTTGTTATGTGCTTTTACATGGGGGGGGGGCGCCCAGCAAAATGCACTCTGAGACCAGAGAAACTGTGAGCAGGGCCCGGGGCCCCGACTTTCCCTGGGGGCCTCGGGCCAAAAGAGGAAGGGAAGGGTGTCTGCCCCGCTGCCGGCTCGCGCGGCGGCGGGAGGCAGAGGCCAAGTGCACGATGCAGAGCCCATCACGGCCGGACCTCAGGGCCCCTCGGCGTCCGTGGGGCGCATTGTCAACCGGCCAAGGGACCTCTCGGGCCGCCGCCTCCGCCCGCTGGCGCGGCTGCAGCTCTGGCGGCCCAGAGCTCTTCCGAGGGTTTTCCTTCGCAGTCATGAATTCGCAGAAGAAACCCGGGTAAGAGACAGGGCAAAGCCCACGGAGCAAAGGGCCGACGACCCCAAGCACCTTTATTTAAGCTCGAGCAATGGACGAAGGAGAAGAGCGTGCCCTCCGCGGGCGGCCGCGCCCCGCATCGCGGGCTTGCCGGGTCCCACCCCGCGCCCGGGCGGAGGGGACCACTATAGGGACCGACCGCTGGCCGTGCGTTTGGGAACGTGTGCCGGGTCTCGTGGCTCCTCGACCAAAGACAGCAACCTGGGGCCCGGCCGCCGCCGCTCCCGCGCCCCACCGCGGGCACCTCGGGCCCTGGCCATCCCCAGCCCACTGAGCCCGAGCCCCGCCGGGTCTGCGCCCCCTCCCTGGCCCGGTTCCAGCCATCCTCCCCGGCTGCCGCCTTCTGTCCCGCCGCGCCCTGCGCCCTCCACGCCCCGCTTACGGACCTCGGCTCTCCGCTGTGGCTGCAGCCGCGCGCTCCGGGACGGGACGGGCGGGCGGGCTCATCGCGCCTCCCGGGAGTGGCGCGGGCCGTCCCGGACCTCGCGCCACGGCGGCAGGGACCCGACTGGCTAGGTCGCGAAACGCCGCGGCGGCCGCCGCCAACTGAACTCTCTGGCTGGCTCTCCAAGCACGCTGCTCCCTCCGCATCCTTTCGGCCAAGCTGCCCTGGCTGCCGGGCATCGGGCTTGGCGCGCTGTGCAGCGGGCGGCGGCCGGGCTCTCCGCTCCGGCGCCAGCTCCCTCCGCATCAGGTCCCCGACGGGACACGGCTCTCCTGGCTGCCGCGCACCGCAAAACCTGGCGCTTTGCATTTGGGAACTTGGGGCACCCAAAGCTAATTATCTGCGCTCCCTCGGGTTTGAGAAGCTGTTAGTTTACGGGCCCCAGCATAACATTACACCCTCCACCCAAGTCGCGGGCACTCGGAGACAGGGACGTTCCATGAGTGTGTTAACCGGCCATGGATTTTCTATTGGGGATGCCCAAACTAACGCCCTAAGAGTTACAAGTGGCTGCACACCGGATAAGGAGAAGGGAGGGTGGCTTACCAGGATTGCGGAGCTTCTTGTTCTTTGACACAGCCAAGATGACCATGGAATTGCCGATCAGGTCCACGATGATGGTGACGACCATCGCACAGGACATAAAAGTGACCAGAGCCGGTGGGTAGTCTGGCTGAGGCAGTTTACAGCCAATACAGCCATATGGGGTGGGAACCGCCAGGGTGGGTCCCATGGCTTCCCCGGAAACCGTTAAGGTCTCCAGCGTGCTCAGGATTGGCAGCCGGTTCCAATGGAAAACACCTGCTCGGTAACCAGGAGCTCCGGAAAAGCGTGCCTCTCACTTCGAGCATCAGAGAGAGAATGACAGAAGCCCGACCCCCCCGATGAGCTTTTAAAGCCTCGCAAGGGGGGCTGGCCCCGCCCCAAACCCCTCCCTCCGACCAATCAGAGTTTCCTGACTACCACCCCCGCCTTGGTCATCACTTTTTTGGGGACCAATCCACATCGAGGTGTCGCATTGCTTCCGATTGCCTTGTTTGTCCTTTCCTTTTACTCATCAACCCCCTCCACCACTCCCCAGATAGCCTGCGTCGTGACTAGCTTGGAGTCCACATACACCCCCCCCACCAGCAGCAGCCTCTGCTGAGCTCCCATTTCTATCAAGTTCTCCTTCCTCTCTCCCTTGCAAAGCAAACCCTCAGCAAACCGCTACAGCCTGCAGAGCGGAGGCATTGGGGTTCCTCTTGCGGTACAGTGGCAGCCCAAACCAGTCTCCAGCCCCTAGCAGACAGTAAGCGATGCCCAGTGGCCCCTTCATCCCTAGATCCATGCCCCTAAAGTCTCCTTGAGAGGTTCATCCTCCCCTCAGGGCTCTTGGCTTGTAGACTTGCATCCCGCAGGCTGCAGGGGACAACTGCCGAGGGCTCCCACCCCAACTCCGGGTCCCCAATCTTTAGGGAACTGATCCTCACTCCGGTGCCCCCTGGGAGCCAGTTAGCTTCCCGAGCCGCAGCGGCAGCAGCTAGTGGCACGCTCAGTCCTGTCCCGGACTCGCGCTTTCCAGGACGAGATGGCCCCTGAGCTCGGCGGCGCTCGGACCAGGATGTGGGTCGGTTCCCGGGGAAAAAGCAGAGGGCTTGCTTGGTCTGCAACTTTGGGGCGAGCGAAGGCGGGAATGAGCCCTTTCCCTGAGCTTTCAGGACTCAGATTTCGGTCGCTCAGACGCTGCTTTAGGAAAGAGCGCGGAAGCCCTTCTCTTGAGCCACCACCGCTCCTCCAAGAAGCCCGGGAGAGAGGCTGCGGCGCCGCGCTCTCCCGGGCGGCCCGCGCGCTCTGCAGGGCTGCTGCGGGGCGCGTTCCAGCGGGCTCCGGGAGCCGCGCTGCTGCCACGGCGGGCCAGGCGCCGAGATACTAGGAAGCAGCCTAGCGCCCCCGGCCCGACTCGTGCGGTTCTCTGCCTCGCTGTCACCTGCTAGGAGTCTCATTTGTCCCTGTCCGAAGCGGCCAGTACTCTCGCCCCGTGGATCTCCCTCCCCGGGTGTGTATCACGGTCCACTGTGGTGCGCCCAAGCTCGCGGAGCGCGCGAGCAGTGGAAATCCCAGGGGTTCGGGCTCAACTAAAGGGGCGCCATGAAGCAACTGGCTCCCGGATCGCAACCTCGGTCGCGAGAGTGGATTTACTAAAAGTTAGGGCTGTCGTGCCGAAGCCTCCGGAAAATCTCTGCAAATCCTTTGCAACTTGTTCTTGGCCAGCCTCCCTGCCTCAGGGGTAAGGGGTTTCACTGGCCCGGAGAGCCACTCCCGGGCGCAGCCGCCCTCCTGTCCCCGGGGCGTGGGGATGAGGGGACCCCCGTGGGACCCTGCGGTGAGGGAATTCAACAGGAAGGCAGGCGCTGCTGGAACGCCAGCTGGCGCGCACTTTGGTGAGCTGGGAAGCCCAGAGGAGGTGGTGGCCCCTGTTTGGAAGGGATGGCGACCCTCTCTCATCCTGTGCTTGCTGCCAAACGGAATCGCGCCGGAGGAGCAATCTTTCTCCCCCTGGCACCTTCTTCCCCCTAGTATCTCCGCTCCCCTCGCCGAGCCGGCCGAGCGCGCCGGCTGGGCTCGCCCGGCTGAAGCGGCTCCCTGGGCATCGGCCAGGAGCCACCTGTCACGCCGGGCCGCCAGCAGGCTCGCCTTGCCGCCTTCTGCCACCGCAAACCCTGAAAGGAGCCCACAGCCACAAGCTCTCCTGCATCGTGGAGCAGTGTGTACGATCCGCACCAGGAGGTCCCCCTCTTCGCCCAAGCCTTTGCGTTCTTTCCCTTATGGCAAGGAGCGGTGTTCAATGAAAATAAACACGCAAACTACCAATAAAATTTGAAGGAAGAAAAGGAAAAACACCGTTCAGACACTTAAGGCACTAGGTTTTCCCGCAAAGCAGCCTGCCAGGCAAGCGGCAAGCTGAGCGCGTTTCGGACACTGAGATATCTGGGTGCCAGGCTTCCGGAGGAGGCGGCCGCAGGGCTGCGGGCGTCCCGGCTGCAGGGCTGCGCGCGTCCCGGCCGCGGGAAATTCCTTATGTGCCTGACAGGGGTCTCCCGGGACTGGGGAGAGGACACAGGAAGGGTAAGCTGCCCTGGGCCCCTGCCCCTGCTGGGTCACTGCACTGGCTGGGTGGCACCTGGGGTTAAATATTAGGCATGGGAGGGCAGCTGTTTTAATCATCTGAAGGGAGAATTCTGCATCCAGCTCAGTACATTTGCTTATTTTTATAAACTAGGTTTTTTTCTTTCTTTCCTTTTTTTTTTTTTTTTTTTTGGTGTTTGTCTTGATCAAGAGCCAAGGATGGCTGTGAGGGGAGAATCAGCCTGGTAGTGGCCGAGGTAGACAAGCCTCAGGTGCAGAAGGTAAAAGACCTTGGGCCAGTGAAGGGGGAGACCTTGATTGGGCAGCGGGTGCTGTGGCCATGGTTTATTTCAGTTTCCGAAGGCTTTTGAATTAAGCCTCTTTCTCAAAGGCTCCCTAAGAAGCCCTAAGAACTGGGGTGGAGAGCACCACACCATTTGGGGTTTGAAATCTATTAAGATAGAGAATGCAAACAGGGGAGATTGGAAACAACTGGCTCCTTGCTTGGGGCTTAGGTGCTACCTAGTGTCTGTAGTGTCGGTCTCCTTGGTATAAAATGCAGACAATCGTAGGGTTGATGAGAGGGCTAAAAGAGAGACTGTGTGAGCACTGGCAACAGCTCAGAGCAGGGCAAGCAGTCACCGACCCTCCCTACCAGCATTGTTCTCAGGGTTTCTAACCCTCTGTGGAAACCCTGTTGTTTGATGCTGCCATGGAGGACAGGGGCTGTCCGCGAGAGCAAAGACACCATCTAGCTGGCTCTATTTCTGGGTAGAAGTCACCCAGTGGGCTCTCAGCAGCAGCTCCGGCCACCGTGAGGGTGTCAGATGGAAAGGGACTCACACAGTGACTTGCCTTCTCACTGCCTCCCCCCCCCCCCGAGATACCTCCCTGGCAGGGTGGTACCTTGTCCACAAGCAGGAACAAAATGAGAGCTTGGGGTAGGGTGACCTGGAGACAGGGCAGAGCCGAAGTCCACATGCAGCTGGCGTGCTCAGGCAGGGGGAGCTGAGCACTGCACCAGCCCAGGGGGCCAGGCCCCCGGGGGCTGCAGCCCATGGGATCCGAGCAGGGATTTAGGCAGGAACCGATCCCTGGGAATTGGGGCCTGATGAGCCCAACAGAGAAGCAGCCAGATCACCTCAGCCGACTCAATAGCGGTTTGGGGCAGGTGCTGTTTTGTTCATTTTTATTTATCATTTTTTCCTGAGCAGAATAAGTCTGGTCACATTTTCTTTACTAACTGGGAGATGCAGTTCACATTTGCTAAATGAACAAAGGTAATGCTTGTCCCTTCCAGATCCCATGGGCTGCATTCGTGGTAGTGAGCAGCACCGGGCCTCCCCTGTGCTTCAGCCGGTAGCAAGCAGGCCACAGCCAATGCCTTCACTGTAATCAAGGCACACCAAAAGAATTAGCAGCTGGTGTTTCCAGGATCTGAGTGCCTGAGAGAGACCACAGTTAGGTGGCTCAAATCAGACAGTTAGCAGGGAGAGAAGAAGCACATGAATTGCTTGTAGCAACACTTGGCTTCCCTTCCTCTTGTATAATTTACCTGCTAATTAGAGCTTAATGAACAATACCCATTTTGCCTAGCTTCACATGCTAGCCTAGCATGATCACCATGCACTTAAAGACTGGCCCTCTTATTAATCAGCCCCATGGCTTCTGACGCACTGGGAGCTTGGTCTCAGCCCACCCTACTACCTGAGCTAGGCCACGAGTCCACCCCCTCGGCCCCCCCAGCCCAAACTTGACAAAAGAGGAAACTGAGGCCCTGGGAGTTGAAGTCACTTGCCCAAAGTCACACAGACAATAAGAGGTCAAGCCGGTTGTCCAGCTCACGCCTGTTTCCCTTCAGAGGCTCTCTGCGTTAAGCACACCTCACTGCTGCCCGCACTGGTTCTCAGCCTCCCTGCCTGTCAGAGCCATGCACAGTGCTGAGGGAAAACGCAACTCTCCGGGTCTGCCCCTTATTCTGTAGAAGCCTGGCTTAGAGAAGGCCCCCACCACCACCTTGGGTTTAGAGAACCCCCCTGGATATAAGCGGCCTCTTGCATTTCCATGTCAGTGTTATGCTAATCTTGTCAAATCACACACACCCTACCCTTTTAGGGACTGTTATTTCTGAATCCGTGGCTGGTGGCCCACAAAGGCAGGGGGAGCTGTGTGCAGGTCCCAAGCCTAAGCTAAGTGTGCAGGACTGTGGCCAGAGAGGAAAGAGTGGAGGACGGTTGGGAGGGGGTGGCTGGGCCAGAGGGGCACCTGTCCTTGGATTTTAAAGGACCAATGGGCCATCCTAACAGGGTTATTCACCGGGCCAGAGCGGAACTGAGGAGACAGCTGAGGGCCCCAGCAAAAAGACCCCAAGACTTCACGGGCGCTCCTCCTGGCAGAGGCCAACACCAGCTCTCGGAAGTCCAGGGAGTCAGGTTGGGAAGTACTTGGGGACGCTGCTGTCATTCTGCACACTTCGTGGGGCTCCTTCTCCCAGCCAGCCTGCGAGGCTCTGCTCGGAGGGCAGCCTGGAAGGGGCTGCTAAGGGTCAGCTAGACGCTCCAGGCCCCAGAGGGCTTCCCGCTTCTGTCCTCGCTGCAGGAGGTGAGATCCACTTGCTAATCAAAA